GAATTTTTCCTGCAGTCTCTTGGCCCTTCCATGTTATGTCGAGGTTCTCTTTAAACGAATCTCTCACAGCCGCCATATTAATGGCACACCACGTGACACACGACAGAAAACAGTCTGGGGCCAAATTGGTAGAAAACTCTGCTGATAAACTCTGATTTAAAATCTGATCTCAAAACAAAAGTTAGAAAAAAGGAAACTGAAACGTATTTTTTGCTGGTTAAGCAACGTCCGTTGTAACCGAAATATCATTCTTAGGCTGAGTTTTTCTGCGACTAAATCTCCTCTCATCGCCGACGGAGCCAGTTTGCCAGCGAATTGTTCTTATACTTCCCAAACAAAGGAGATTGCGTCACTGTACTATAAGGCCTTGCCGTATCCTGAACTGACTGAGTGAGCTACACAATAGGTTCTGTAAGACGACATTAACACAAAAAAAATATGACGAAAACCAAGGAGAATTAGCTTTCATAGTATACTGTTGTGACTTTTTCTTTCCTTGCACACATTTTTCTTGAACTCAAGTAGTCATCTTTAAAAGAGCTTAACTAACAACAGGGAACAACCGCACCTTAACAGAAAGGTGAGTTGATGAGTCTCCAACCCACAGTGGTAGCTACGTCAGTCCACTTTGTCTCTTCTCGCAGACAAAGCCGAAATGCTGCCGAGAAGACTATGAACCCACACAACTGCGCTTATAAGATATGTCGCGAAACGTCATTCTAATTAGCACAGCTGATATCGAAGTATATTCAGTACTTGGACTTCTGGTGTTTCTAAATATTATAGTTTTCAGCTAAGCAGTTTCTGAGCCGTAACAGTAAAGATTTTTTAACTTTGATAGTACAATACCTTATAACTTTCCTTCTGCGTATAGCTCTGACGAATACCTCAGCAAAATTAACAAATAAATGTCGCCGAGCAGTGCATACAAGTACGTTTACATGGTTAAAAATATTGATATTCTAGACTGTAAGAAATGGAAGATACAGGAAAAAAATTAAAAGCATCAAACACATGCCCCCTCAAGGATCGATCCGCTATCGAATCACTTATCAGCTAATACACGCAAAGTAATAATAATACATAATACATAAATTGACAAGAGTTGCCAGAGGTTCAGCGCTCATTTGCAAATAGATATATTTATAACTGTTCACACTGTTGGCCAGAACCTCTTTAGAACCACTAATTTGATAGATTCTTGTTGGCCCAAAGCTCTGTTGTTTCAGAGTTGGGGTTCATTGTTAGTTTTGTTTGCGTTAGGGCTATCTATTGTTTTCTAAACCAATCCTGTGAGCCGTTCTTAGAGCTTCCGGCCCACCAAACAATTCTCTGCATGATTGTAGATATGTTTATAAAAGATATGTTAGACAAAATAGCAATCTTGAAAACGTTTAATTTCATTATGTATCGGGTAATTGGTCGCCAGCGGAACGGTAACTCAATATAAAGATTTTAAGAAACAAAAATGAACAAGCAACTCTTGAAATGAGTTAAGTTTTAATCTTCAAGTTATTTCCCTTTTGGATTTAACAGTTGTAGCCACAGACAACCCAATTTTTCTTAATCTGTACACATGTCTTGCCGAAAGACTAAATCTAAGCAAATAGTTAGATTATCGAAGTCGCTCCTAACTTCAAATGGATAATCACATACACTTAATAAGAGAAAACGATCAAACAATTGATTTAAATTGTTAGAACGACAACTAACAAATGGAGGTCAATCAACTTAATGAAGGCCTTGTTTTGAAGACGAGGCAGGTGCAAATTCAGTTAGTGATTCAAGAATTGCAGTATTACAGTCAACTCTCTCCAATACGGACACCTTTGGGACCGGCACTAAGTGTCCGTCTTAGAGAGATGTCCGTCTTAGAAAGAGTCAAATAAGGGAATAAGCAAAGGCAGGGACCAACTCTAGGTGTCCGTTTTACAGAGGTGTCCGTCTTATAGAGGTGTCCGTAAAGAGAGAGTCGACTGTAGTCCTAAGTCAGGCACGTCTTTTTCAGTAATCTCGCGCTGTGTGCCTTTCGTACTACAACAGAATGTTAGAGGACAATGATTAACGTGGAAGACAGAAAAAAAAATGTCAACGTTGAACGTATAATCATAATCTTGGGGCTTTTGATGGCGACCACTTGAATCCCTCGTGATACACTACTCAGATTAGAATTGTCACTCATTGCAGAGATGTCCAGCTTGTAGCTAGAGAGTCAAAGAAAATGAACGGCAGAGAACGACAGAGATCAACCTAGACGTAGGCGAGCGCCTTATAGAGGTGTCCGGGATAGTAGACTGAAGAGTAGAAACTGTTTTCAGTGAAAAACATTTTCCCAAAAACGTATTAGCTTTAGATCTCTTTTTCCGAACTCTTCGTAAACACGGAAGGCCGCATACCCGAAGGTAGTTTGAGAGTACATTTACTTAAGACGTTTTAGGCCCGGTTCAGACGCCGCTCCACTCATGTGCCGAACCTAACTGATGAATTAAGTACGGCAAAAGAGCGGCGTCTGAATCAATTTGGTACGGCAGTTTTAGTTTGGTGCGGCAAAAGCGTTAAGTTCGACAGAGTCTGTCGGACTTTTGTCGAACTTAACTTAGGTTCGACACACGGTACGCCGTCTGAATCAGATGTCGCGCCAGTGTCGCTCCAAAGTCGAACTTATTCAGTTAAGTTCGGCACATGAAAAGTACGGCGTCTGAACCAGGCCTTAGTTTCCATGGATTGGTATTATTTAAACAGGAATTGATTATATAACTAAGACCTCACAAATGGAGATCGATGCGCTGTTCTCTCCTGCGGAAGATGTATTGTTCTATACATATATGGTGGAAGAGGCAGCGTGGCTGGGGTCTGATCCTAGCTAGCACTGGACTTCTATTTGTAGTTAGCCAGTCTCAAGTCCCGCTCTAGCCGCTAGCTGGATTTGTTTTACAGCAGAATAGTCCCGAGTTCAAATTCTTGTAAATAGTATAAGCTGCTTTGCCTTAGGTGAGCTGGGATACTTAACCCTGTTATGATTTGTTTGAAATGCTTGTTCCAGGCATTTGCTCAGCCCCACTAGCCTTTGCTCTATAAATACCTCCAAAGGTAAATAAAGGAAGTTTTTTTTATGATATATTTTTTTCAGTTTGAACGGTCATCCACACGGCTAAGAAGAGTGGATTCTATTTGTCACCTGGATTAGATTTTAGAAAAAATGGCCCTAATATACAGTCGACTCCCGATAACTCGAACCTTCAAGAAAAATCGAAAAAGGTTCGAGTTGGCGGGTATTCGAGTTATCGGGAGTTCGAAGCAATTAACCGGAAATGAGAAAATGGGATATGGAATGAATTCAAGTAACAGGCACATTTCAATACCTGATAAATACACTGTGCTGGACACTATTTAAACTGGACTGACAAAAAAAGTAAAGACAAAGAATACATAGTAGTTAAAGTAATTTCAATAGTTCAGACTGCAGTGCACTTTTTTTCGACTTGTCAGGCGCTTTATAGGTTCGAGTTATCGCGGGGTTCGAGTTAACGACGGTAAAAAAAAAGGAAATCCAGGAGAAATCGATTTTGGTTCGAGTTAGCGCGAGGTTCGAGTTAGCTTGGGTCGAGTTCTCGGGAGTCAACTGTACACTGACTGCACTACATTCTAGTTTTACTTACTGGGAAGAATTGACTTTTAAAATTGCTTTTGAGTTATCGTAATCGGGTTCTAATCGGTACGCGTATGACACACACAAAAAAAACAAAACAAAACAAAGAAACTGACGACCCATCTTGCATGAAAAACTTGCAGGTGTACCAATTGATGCGTCTTATAACAATAATCCTCCACATCACGGATCACACGGTGATTTATATCATTTTAAAAGGGAGTCATTCTCTGTGCAAGCAATCCCTTGGGCGAGACCTTCGAGCGCCGTACAGGGATTTTTAACAGTCGGCAAGTCAGTCATGGAAACGTCTATTATTAGTCACAAAACGATATATAGGATAGCTATAAAATGTCTTCTTTTAGCAGGTAAGTTTTCATTTCATGTCAATGTGGTTTTTGATCCGGCTATAAATCGAACACAAACTGATAAGTCTTCTGTAAATCCCAGCACATGGCCACAGACGAAGAAATGATTTTCCATAACAGGAAAAATCATTTTCCTAGACCAGTGCTGCGGTCCGTGCTCAAGCTATCGTATTTATAGTTTAAAGGAGAATAGTTATTAAAGAGTACTCTTCTTTCCTAGTATTTCATCACGTTTTGCCGAAAGTGACCCGTTCGTCAACAGGTGTTCGGTCAACATCGTTGATGTCTAAGAACAATTTTTGTTCAGTAGCGTTCCAAGGTTAAAAAATGGTGCCAGTATTATGTGATCTCCCGCTGTTAAAAGAACAGGTTACTGTTATAAGTTGCCAAAACAATTATTTCACCGAAGGATAATAGTCATTCTTGTCCACAGATCATGTGGTCTTCGAGCGAAGCCACTCGTTAAAAATGTAACCGAGTGGCCCCTGGAGACAAGACTAGTGGAATAACCTGTTGCTTGACGGTAACCAATTTAGAATAGAGGACAATAACCATTTTACAGTTACAAATGGGAAACGAGCCCGGAGTTGACCATGTTTTGATACATTCCTTCCTGCTTTTTTATGTAAATCATGTTCTTCTCATGCTAACTAGCTAGTGTTTTTTTCAAGCATAATTTCCACAAGAAAAGCGGAGGGAGGCTTGTATCAAAACAAAACCAACCTCGACCTCACGTTCATCACTTGCTGAATCCGCAGGCCCCCAGATAAATCAAACCCTGTGTTCTGATTGGCTGATTACCCGTATTGGTCCCGAAAGAAAAAGTTATCTGTTAGGCCATACAATATGATTATATCCTCTATTGACCAAGTCTTTCATAGGGATATTCTTTCTAAAGTTGTCAACATTTCGCTTTAATATTGCGTATTTTATTATTTTATATCAATAACCGACAATTCATATTACATTTTGATGAATTAGGTCTGTGCCAAGCATTGGATCAATCGCTCTTAGACAACATAGCGACTAGTCTTGATCTGAGATTTGACGTGTTAAACAACCTTATTGGTGGATGCCAAGTTCGTTTAACTTTCACGAACAAAGGTCGCCGTGTTATTAGTGGTGATAACTGGACAGTTTATTTTAACTCCATAAGAAAAATCACTCCCGGTTTTACACCTCGGATAAAGATGGCTGTGGCTCACATTGATGGTTATCTCCACAAACTGACGCCTACCAGACATTTCCCACGTTTACTGCCTGGTAAAGAACTGAAATTAGATCTTAAAGCTGAATACTCAATTGTTTCTAAAACCGACGTTATGCCAAACTGGTACGTGGTCGCGCGTGGTTTGGAACCAAGAATAATCCACAGCACTGCAGGAGAAAGTATGAAATTTGTGGGCCCGTTTGACACTCCCTCTAAGTGGAAACGCTCAGGACAGGATATGTATGATCCCCTCACGCCAGAGAAACGGTTCGACAACATCAAAGTCAACGATATTCGCAAGGCTGGAAACCTTATATTACCTACTCCTTCGGCACTCAAGGTTAAAAGTATAACACAAAAAGTGAACTTACGTTGCGGAAATTGGAATATAATTGCCAGGAGAAGTTTAGTTAATGAAGGTCAATACTTAGCAGGTTCGTCGATGCATTATTATTATTTGTTGTTGTCGTTGTTGTTAAGATCATCATCATCATCATCATTATTTATTTTGGGGAATGTAGTGGTGAGAGCACTCGCCTTCCAACATTTTGGCCCGTTTTCAAATCCCGGCGTCGACACCATAAGTAGGCAGAGTTTGTTGTAGGTTCTCTCCTGCGCTCCGAGGGTTTTTTTTCTCCGGTACCCCTGTTTTCCCCTCTCCTCAAAAACCAACTTTTCCAAATTGGAGTTTGACCAGCTAGGAATCAGGTAAACGAAGAAACACTATGTGGATGTGCTATCTCTAAATCGATATTTATTTATTTATCTATTTATTTATTTATATATTGCACACGTTCCATTGGAATATGTCTTGGTCATTGAAGACCAAGGAAAACTGGTCAACAAAGACAAAAAATGTACATGGAGATAAATTTATGACTTATAACTGACTATTACCTTCTAGATAAGCGGTAGAATTTATCAATACTAATCCCTTCACAGGAAAACTTAACATACCAGTCATGAAATCCTCCAAATCAAGAAATGAGTTCATCGAACTCAAGATTGGTACAGTGTACATAGAAGATAAGAAGAGCGAATGCGATGAAGCTTACAATTTGAATGTCGATCCTCAGAAACTGATTATTCGAATTGTTGGTAATACACCAAAGGCTGTGTTCTGGGGAATTCAGTCGCTTTTAAGTATGTTGGGCGATGGAGAGGTACCCTGGGTTACAATTGAGGACTCACCAAGATATGAGTATCGAGGACTGAGTATAGATGTGGCTAGAAACTTCCTTCAAAAGAATGAAGTTATGAGGATACTCGATGGCATGGCTATGTTTAAAATTAACAAACTCCATCTTCATCTAACGGATGACGAAGGTTGGCGGCTGGAGATTCCTGGACTAACAGAGCTCACTGAAGTAGGTGTACAAATTTAAGAGGTTGGTGGGGTGTGACAGATCAGAGGGGCAAAAGCTAGGAGAAAAGGAGAGAGTCGTCATGCATTGTAGAAACCGGCTGAAGCGACTACAAAAGATTATTTCAAATGTTATTTGCTAAAGTTTATTTTCTCAAGTTTTTGAAAGGACCTTGGAAATCCAGCAATGGCCATGTTCAAACAAATTTTGCTATCCTGGGTCTGATACATGATGGTGGCAAAAGAAGAGACAACTTTACTTAAAAGACTTTTATGTTTCTCTTCGCCTACATTTTTCAAAAATGTATTTGTTAGTTACTTATAGTCAAACCTCCCATTAGACGCACTAAAATTGGAGGCCTGCGGGCTCCTTTGTGCCGTCGTTTACCACGTTTGACCAAAGGACAGAGCCAAGTATCCAGGCTTTACAGATATGTCCAAGATTAGTTTAAAATTGGCATCTTCGGGACCAAAACGTCGCCCCATGTGATGGAATCGGGATTCCAGAATCAGGGTAATTTTTGCTTGTGAAATCTGGAATCCAGGGCTTTGGATTCCGGAATACAGCTCAAGGAACCCATTGGAAAACCAGGAATCCAAGTTTCACTGAAAAAGAATCCGGAATCCAGGACTGCCTTGGATTCCCTTACATGGGGCAAAAAAAGAAACTATTCAAAATAGAGGGATATCCTGTACAGAGGTAGGGATTGTATGAAGTTTGGAACTTTGAAACCAACAATGCGTAAGGAGAACTTTGATCGTAATTTTCCCCGTTTGTTATTGCTTAACTCCTAGATTGCCTCCCAGCGGTGTCATGACCTTCAAGAGAAGCATTGCCTTGAGCCTCAGTTAGGGTCAGGTCCCTTTAACAACACCTCTGGCACCGGTCATTACTCGGTAAAGGACTATCAAGAAATTTTGACATATGCCAAACAAAGGCATATTGACATTATACCAGAGTTTGATCTCCCTGGTCATTCGCATGCCGCCATTACAGCCTCTGTGAACCGATACAGAAAGTACCTTGATATGGGCAAATCTGAGGATGGATTGAAATTCTACTTGAATGATCCGGAAGACAAGTCATTTTACGAATCAGGTCAATTCTTCCGCAACAATTCTGTAAATCCATGCTTGGAGTCAACCTATAATTTTGTAGAAGAGTTGATTTTACAAGTGCAAGCTATGCACGCGGAGATTCAGCCACTCAAAGTCATCCATTTTGGAGGAGACGAGGTCCCTCAGGGTGCTTGGGCACTCTCCCCTGCTTGTCAACGACTGTCTGCGAAGACAAATTCTCCATATCAGGGCTGGAAAGCGTATTTTATCAAACGTGTTGCTAGCATTGCAGCAAAATACGGCTTAAATCTTGGACTGTGGGAAGATGGATTGCTGGATGCAACGTTTACACCACTAACGCGAAGTGAATTGAGGAGCGATGTGGTTTATGGTTACGCCTGGGGAAACACCAAGAATCTTGGATATAGACTGGCTAATGCTGGTTACAAGGTCAGTTGATGATCCGGCTCTTCAAGTGTTCCCATGCCCACTGTTTTTTTTTTATTAGAATCTGATGATGTCAATCTTTGAACATTTTTTTATTGTGCATGCTGAACTGTTCTCACACTGACCTTACGAAACTACGACGGCGACAGCAACGGGAACGTCAAAAAGCAATAAAGTTTAAAGGGTAACAACAACAACTCTGGACGCACATCATGTTCGTTTTTAAATTTCTTTGCCAGCTCTGCGCAACTAAAATGACCAAATTTTAAGTTTACTTGATAAAGAGAACGGCAAGGCGATAAATTCTACCATCTATTTCTGAGCTCTGGCCTGGTCCCCTCTCTCCAACTCCTAATTTCCTGGTTTTATTCCTTGAAATGGGTGCCGAGGAACTCAACATTGTTTACAAAAGGGGAGCAATCGAGCTGCATTTGTAAATTTTTATAAACCCTTCGCCCATTAGGTTGTAATGACGCAGGCCTCTCATCTTTATTTTGATCATCCTTATGAGCCGGATCCTGAAGAGAGAGGTTTATACTGGGCCACAAGATATACTGACACTCGGAAAGCTTTTGGCTTCATGCCTGAACATCTGTACGACAGCTTAGAGAATGATGGAAACGGGATGCCAATCAATGACTTCTGCAGCACGGCGGGTGATTGTGTGAAACCAAATAAACTTCAAAACATTGTTGGTTAGTTGAAAATACCAGAAAGCTAGTTCCTAAAACTCATTTAGGTGGAGAAATCACCACCCTGAAGAAGGTTTTGAGATCGGATAGTACTTACAAAAATTTCCCTCGCTGCCTGTCTCAGTGTTTAACTATTCTGTGAAACACTCCTTCTAGTGTTTGATAGTACTTCTCCATGTTTAGATATCAGATGAAAAACTTCTTCTTGTGTTTGGTATATTACTCGGCTTAGGTAACAGACATTTTTTATCTGTATGGGTATTTGCGACGAAATCGAAGCAGCGACTGTTTGAGATTAAAGCGACGATTGTATTGCCATTCCACTCATTTTGTTCGATGACGGCAATGAAATCTGCCAAAAATGTGCTACTGACACATTTAGAGTTTTTGCTTTGCTTATTAACCGGCTGCTTTTTTAATTTTCTCGTTTCCGTCGCCTATGTGGTTGTGCTGAGGTCGCTGGTAGCGTTACCACGCAAAACAATTCTTGACATACGAAGATTATGCCTGAAAAACGGACGATTTGATGGAAAACGAGCGACGAAATCGACGTCGGCAGGTGCCCATACAGAGACTTAACACTCCTCCTCATGATTGATATATTTCTTCACGGTGATTAAATATCTGATGATTTAAAAGAAACACTCTTATAGTGTTTGATATATTTGATAGTTACATTGTATTGGTGTTTGGATATCAGATGAAATATTCCTTCTCGGGTAAAATATATTACCTCTTATTGTATAGATATCAGATCAAATACTCCTTACTCGAGTTTTAAAATTACTACTCGGTCAGATCTGGATGTCGTTTGATATATAACTTTTTAAATATTAGCTTTTGATACCTAGCCGCCCAGCACTATCTTCGTTTCTTCAGAATCAAAGATTGTTCCCACATTTTGTAGGTATGGCAGGATCCGTCTGGTCAGAAACAATAAGAACCCCGTCACAATTTCAGTCAATGATATTCCCAAGAATTCTTGCTGTGGCGGAGAGAGCCTGGCATAAGGATATTTGGGAAGATGAAAGGAATAAATCACAGAGAAACAGGATGAGGAAAGCAAGTTGGGAAAAGTTTGCCAACACCCTGGGTTACAAAGAACTGTCGCGACTGGACAACCTGGGAATAAATTACCGCATTCCTCTACCAGGAGCCAGGTATACCCTTTTGTTTTGTTTTAAATACTGACATAAGTATGGATACAGATGATACCAGTTGTATTTGTATCTCATTTTAATCACGTGATGACCAACGACAACTTTTAAAATTCTTTTTCAAGGGTCGGTGAACAGCATTACAGTGCATGCAAAGTCCTGCTCAAGGAACTCTTGTTGTTACAACACAATTACGATTTTAATAATTTAACTAATTTAAGTCATTGGGCCCTTCAAATTTCTCAGCTGTCTTTGCCTGGGGAGGCATTTCCTGATTTTGAGAAAAGTGGATTGTAGAATTAACTACCTGTGTTTTGTTTGGAGCGCATGTCATTAATAAGAGACGTCCGAGATAGGATAGCTAGCGTGCTGTTGCGATGGATGTTTTACAAAGCGAATAATAGTACTGTTAATATCAGTGAACTTTTACGAAGTATAAGCTAACATTTTTTCTTCATGCTTGCCACACTTGATGGGTTATGTAAATTCCTAGCAGCCAAAAACATATTCATACTCTTGTTTTCTCTTTTCCGGTTTTCAGAATTGTCGATGGTGTTCTCAAAACAAATGTAGCATTTCCTGGTCTCAAGGTTGAGTACAGTATCGATGGTGGTAAAACTTGGTTTGATACCAAAGGAGCAAATGTCACCAGCGGTAAATTACTTCTAAGAACTAGGTAAGAAAATACCATTAGTCATTTGGATGAGTTTCCCGAGTTCTTATCTTATCTCTATAACAAAAGGTATTTTGTCCCTCTGCTTTGAGGAGTAATAATGGCACAAAACCTCGAAATTTGCTTTCTGTTAAACCGTTTTCACTAGATGCCGGTTTGCCACAAGTTTTCGATCTGGCGGAAGATCGAAAAATCCTACGTCCAGACATGAAGTAGGCCTGGGATTCTGTGTTAGATTTGCTAGTATACTGCATGGTTCTGGCATTGCACATTTTATTTTGCTGTAATACTCATGTACAGTGGAACCTAGATATAACGAGCCTCTATATGTAACGAAGTCCTCGGTATAGCGAATGATTTCCGTGACCCCAGTAATAGTAAAGTATATGAAAAAGAACCTCGATATGACGAAACCTCGATGTAGCGAACAAAATCTGCCAGTCCCTTGGCCCTTCGTAGCACCAAGGTTCCACTGTAACACTATATGAATTAATTCACAGGTATTTTTCTTTTTTAATTATCCTTCCCTTTATGGGGCTTTTCAAGGATAATGAAACAAATAATTGAAAGCCAACTGGTAGGAGGCAAACAAGATGGCTATTTTACGAGCGTGGTCGTGAATCTGAACTCGGAACTACCGAGAACAAATCCAACAGGCGGTCAGGGCGGGACTTGAACTCGGGCCTTCCAAATTACAAGTCCAGCGTTTTAACCTCTCAGCCACGCTGCCTCAGTCCTTTCCAGGAGTTACTGTATAGAGTGTGAGTCAAATTGCCAACCAGGCTAAATATCTTGCTAGAATATCATTAAACGTCTTCACTTGGGGAAATGCACAAAGTTTGTGGGTACCATTTGTCACCAAGTAAAATTACTCTCTTGAGATGCTGAGTGCTGGAATAAAGTGTTGTGAGTGCCTATTCAAGTTCACCCCAGCAGTGGGAATTTGACTCATAATGGGGATCCAAGGGTGGGGAAATTGACATTTGAAAACCTGAAAAAGGCAATTTTCCAATCGGTTGCTCCCCCCCCCCCCCCCCAGAAGATGAAAGGAATAAATCACAGAGAAACAGGATGAGGAAAGCAAGTTGGGAAAAGTTTGCCAACACCCTGGGTTACAAAGAACTGTCGCGACTGGACAACCTGGGAATAAATTACCGCATTCCTCTACCTGGTGCCAGGTACACCCTGTTGTTTTGTTTTAAATACTGACATAAGTATGGATACAGATGATACCAGTTGTATTTGTATCTCATTTTAATCACGTGATGACCAACGACAACTTTTAAAATTCCTTTTCAAGGGTCGGTCAACAGCATTACAGTGCATACAAAGTCCTGCTCAAGGAACCCTTGTTGTTACAACACAATTACGATTTTAATAATTTAACTTGTCAGCTGTCTTTGCCTGGGGAGAAAGTAGATGTAGAATTAACTAACTGTGTTTTGTTTGGAGCGCATGGCATTAATAAAAGACGTCCGAGATAGGATAGCTAGCGCGCTGTTGCGATTGATGTTTTTCAAAGCGAATAATAGTACTGTTAATATAAGTGAACTTTTACGTAGTATAAGCTAACATTTTTTCTTCATGCTTGCCACACCTGATGGATTATGAAAATTCCTAACAGCCAAAAACATATTCATACTCTTGTTTTCTCTTTTCCGGTTTTCAGAGTTGTCGATGGTGTTCTCAAAACAAATGTAGCATTTCCTGGTCTCAAGGTTGAGTACAGTATCGATGGTGGTAAAACTTGGTTTGATACCAAAGGAGCAAATGTCACCAGCGGTAAATTACTTCTGAGAACTAGGTAAAAAAATAACCATTAGTCATTTGGATGAGTTTCCCGCGTTCTTTTCTTCGTGAAGTTTTATAGCAAAAGGTATTTTGTCCCTCTGCTTTGAGGAGAAATAATGGCACAAAACCTCAAAATTTGCTTTCTGTTGAAACGTTGTCAGTAGATGCCGTCCTGCCACAAGTTTTCTATCTGGTGAAAGATCGAAAAATCATACGTCCAGACACGAAATAGGCCTGGGATTCTGTGTTAGATTTGCTAGTGTATTGCATGGTTGTGGCATTGCACATTTTATTTTGCCGTACTACTCATGCACAGTGGAACCTAGATATAACGAGCTTCTCTATATATAACGAAGTCCTCGGTATAACGAATGATTTCCCTGACCCCAGTAATAGTAAAGTATATGAAAAAGAACCTCGATATAGCGAACAAAATTTGTCAGTCCCTTGGCCCTTCGTAGCATCGAGGTTCCACTGTAACACTATATGAAACAATTCACAGGTATTTTTCTTTTTTAATTGTCCTTCCCTTTATGGGGCTTTTCAAGGATAATGAAACAAATAATTGAAAGCCAACTGGTAGGAGACAAACAAGATGGCTATTCTACGAGCGTGGTCGTGAATCTGAACTCGGAACTACCGAGAACAAATCCAACAACCGGTCAGGGCGAGACTTGAACTCAGGCCTTCCAAATTACGAGTCCAGCGCTTTAACCGCACGCCCACGCTGCCTCCTTTTCAGGAGTTACTGTATATAGAGTGTGAGTCAAATTGCCAACCAGGCTAAATATCTTGCTAGAATATCATTAAACGTCTTCACTTGGGGAAATGCACAAAGTTTGTTTGTGGTTTGTGGGTCACCAAGTAAAATTGCTCTCTTGAGATGCTGAGTGCTGCAATAAAGTGTTGTGAGCGCCTATTCAAGTTCACCCCAGCAGTGGGAATTTGACTCATAATGGAGATCTAAGGGTGGGGAAATTGACTTTGGAAAACCTGAAAAAGGCAATTTCCCGTCGGTTGCTCCCCCCATCAGGGGGCAAACCGTTGATAGGTGCATAATATAACAGACACCTCCCTAGAGTTGGTCCCTGTTGTGTAGTCATTTTTCTCTGACTCCATTTAAGATGAACACGTTCGTCCGTCTAAGAGATAGCTGACTTCTTTGTACTATGATCACTAACGGGACGTGGTGTTGAACTTTTAAGCCTGACTGGTTTATAGAGCGTTTTCACATGATCTAGCAGCTTCCATGTTGATGTTCAAAAACAATGAAAGACATGAAACGACAGCCATGGTGGTGTTCTAAACAAATCCTGAGAGGGTTGAACTCTTTTCTTTTGTAAACGCTTTCTTTTGTTTCTATAAATTTGCATTGATGCTGGCTACTTGAGTGAAAACGTTCCCTAACAGTAACGGCCTTATCGATCTCCACTTCTCTTTTTATCCTTTCTGTATCTAAAAGTGACTAGCGTCTATCTAATGTCTTGATATTGTGCACTTAATCATCACTGCGGGGGGCTTTACAGAGTTACTAAGGCTACTAGTTACTGTTCTATTTTACGGGGTTTTACCATCAATGAGATCTATCGATGTGTTGCATTAATTCCTACAAACCATCATTTATGGTTTATTTTGTAGGTCTGCCGACGGGAAGAGAACAAGCAGGATAGCAAGAGCTACTTTTTCTAAAAACGTTTAAAAGAGGATTTCACAACCACTGTATTTGTATTATTTTCCTTTAGAATGTGACGGCTGTAAGTAGTAGGATTAAAGGAGACATTTTTGATAGGCTATTAAATACTCACTTCTCTTTCTCTCCGGGCTCCGGTGCTGTGCACTCGGCCTAATTCCTTGCTTCTGAGGGAAAATCCCTGGGAACAAACTTAGTTCCTCTGGACTGCCACAGTCATTTCTTTCCTCATATTCAAACCCTTCACTACCAACAGTGTCTCCCTTGCACAGCAAGCGTTAACTTGCGAGGAAATGCTATAAGCTACTATATACAGGCTGGTCCCCGAGTTCTTCTAAGGCAAGGCCGGTGTCTCCGGTTAGGGTATCATGGGATATGATAGGGCAATTGCAAATTAGGGTATTTTAAGAACTGCTCTAATGCAACCGATGTTTAGTGAAAAAAGCCCTCATTTGGTTGCATGTATCATATTTTCCTTCTGTTTATTTCTCATTTTTAATGACAACATTTGTCCATGATTGCTATTTTGTTTCTGAGATTAAGCTGCGCTTATCCTCTACGCTTGAATTTCCACAAGCCTACTCATGCGACGTCTGTCCGCCGACCTGAAATAGTGTAAATGAACAGTTAGTAAAGTGACCGGCTTTATTAAAATGTAAGTAAAACAACTAGTGATGTTTTTTTTATTATTTCATAAACAGACTCCAATCTAAGCTGGGTGCAGTGAACTCTCTCTTAACAGACGCCTTGACTAGACGGATTTAAATTTAAATTGAGCTGTACTTAATCATCCTTTCCGCTTATCAGGGGCATTTCAGGGATAATGAAACAAATAATTCAGGTGGAACATAACAATGATAAGAATCTTGACTGGTAGGAGGTGAACAGGGTGGCGATTAATTTTAGAAGCGTGGTCGAGGATTTGAACTTGGGAATGCCTAGAACAAATCCAGCTAGCGGCGGTCAGTGCCGGGTTATTCGAAGCAGGGTTAACATAACCCAGGGTTAGTGCGAAATTTGAACTCAGATATGAGAGCTTAAAAAAGCAAATAAAGTTTAATTCTCTTTGCCTACAATTGGATGATTGGATACTCTAAAAAGAATACAGAAAACTATCCGAGAGAGTGCTTTTGATAAAAAGAAAAAGAGACCCGGGTTAAAATTTAACCCCTGGTTAGCGCTAACCGGCGTTTGAACAACTGGGCCAAGGTGGAGACCTGAAGTCAGGGCCTCCGAATTACAAGTCCAGCATTTAACCGCTCGGCCATGCTGCGGACGCCTCCCGAAAGTATCTAGAACTCGTTCATGGTATTCTTCGATAGTATTCGTTGGCTCTCAATAAGGCGGATGGTGTGTTGTCAGTCCTGAGGAGTTACAGTAATATCAGCTGTAATATCTGCTGTTTAGAATTGTCTACCTGGTTCCCAGTATTACTCGACCAGAAACAGCCATCCCGTCTGTGACGTCACCCCATGATAAGCCACCATCGGTACTGTACTGTACTGTTAATCCGGGGATGGCGGAAT